TAGCTACATTTAGTTAGCGGTTAGCTACATTTAGTTAGCGGTTAGCTACATTTAGTTGGCAGTTGGGTACATTTAATTAGCGGTTAGGTACATTTAATTAGCGGTTAGCTATATTTAATTAGCGGTTAGCTATATTTAATTAGCGGTTAGGTACATTTAATTAGCGGTTAGCTACATTTAGTTAGCGGTTAGCTACATTTAGTTAGCGGTTAGCTACATTTAGTTGGCAGTTGGGTACATTTAATTAGCGGTTAGGTACATTTAATTAGCGGTTAGCTATATTTAATTAGCGGTTAGGTACATTTAATTAGCGGTTAGCTATATTTAGTTAGCGGTTAGGTACATTTAATTAGTGGTTAGCTATATTTAATTAGCGGTTAGGTACATTTAATTAGCGGTTAGCTATATTTAATTAGCGGTTAGGTACATTTAATTAGCGGTTAGCTATATTTAATTAGCGGTTAGGTACATTTAATTAGCGGTTAGCTACATTTAGTTAGCGGTTAGCTACATTTAGTTAGCTAAATGTAGCATGTCCATGTACTCTGAATGCTACACATGCTATAAGATCTAAGAACACTGGCATTACCCCATTAAGTCATGTCTGTCTGTCTGTTAGCAACATATCTCATGCACCTCTGTAAAGATTTTAATAAAACTTTAAGAAAATGTTCATTATTTGACCTCAAATCTTTGAGGTTTTGCAGAAAATTATTTTTTCTGGTTCATTACAGATTCAAATGAATCAGTGTTGATGCTACATTTAGTTAGCGGTTAGCTACATTTAGTTAGTGGTTAGCTACATTTAATTAGCGGTTAGCTACATTTAATTAGCAGTTAGCTACATTTAATTAGCAGTTAGCTACATTTAATTAGCGGTTAGCTACATTTAATTAGCAGTTAGCTACATTTAGTTAGCGGTTTGCTACTTTTAGTTAGTGGTTTGCTACTTTTAGTAGCTAAATTGTTTTGAAGACAAAAAAAAAGGCCACATGGGGTTCTGAGGATATTTGTGGTAGATTATATTTGTTGTTTTTGTTTTAACGGTGAAGATTCAGGCGAGCCAGACTCACAGTAGACGTGCACGTGGATCTCTCTGGTCCTGATGACCGAGTCGCACTCAGCCTCGCAGCTGTACCCTCCCTGGTGCTGGAGGTCCAGCTCCTGCAGGTGGAGCTGGGACAGCCCGTCCTGCTGCTGCGTCCTCTGGAGAACTGTCCGGTTCTGGTCCGTCCTCCTCCAGCTGAGGGTGGGAGTCTGCGGGCATCCGGAGGCCCTACAGGATAGGATCAAGGCCGATCCTCGTTCTGCCGAGACCTGAGGGCTGGCCTCCACCTGCAGGGGGTGAGCTGAGAGAACATCCAACGAGTTCGATCAGATGGAGAACCAGATATCTGCTGACAAAAAACTTTTTAGAGGATCCAAAATACAACTGAAGATGAAATCTGCTTCAGCATAATACTGCAAATTCTACTAATGGTACTTCTGAGAACACTACTACTGCTAAAAACACTACTATCAGTACTATGACTAACGTTTGCTAACGCTGATTCTGCTAATGCTAGCAAAACTTTGGCTAATTATGGTAATGTTAACTCTTCTACTGGTAAAAGTAATACCACTGATGCTAATTTTACCAATACTCATTTAATTTAAATGTTAACATTTAACTACATTTTCCTAGCATTTTGCTTTTAGTTAGCGATTTGCTACATTTAATTAATGGTTTGCCACTTTAGCAATTTGCCACTTTTAGTTAGCGGTTTGCCACTTTTAGTTAGCGGTTTGCCACTTTTAGTTTTAATCAGATTTTATTGAGATTGTTCAGCACTCCACAATCTTTGAGGTTTTGCAGAAAAATTATTTTTTTCTGGTTCATTACAGATTCCAATGAATCAGTGTTGATGCACCTTATAGTCAGCTGGTATTCTTCCATAACTGTCTTTTTTATACTTTTCTCAACCCAAAATGCATCTGAAATAAACATCTCAATTAGGAATAGTGTACCATACTACGACTTTTGGTAGCAGACCATCATACACAAATAAAATGGGCAGGAAAATAGTGGAAAAACTTCCCCACAGAAAACAATGAGATTTTGGTGAACTGAAAATCTTTGTTAGTTCAACAGCTCAGACAGACGTTATGACACAAACCATCTTTATATGGGTCGTGGAAAGTTGGACTTAAATCCCCCCAGAGGTCAGAGTACACACAGTGACTTCCACTGCATCTGAGCTCAGAATTTTCTCTTTAGGAGAAAGAAAATCAAAAATACCTTTAACTGTGATGTTCTTGGACACCAGCTGGGAGCCAAACTGGTTTGAGGCTTCACACAGGTAGAGGGCGGAGTCTCTCAGGGAAGCAGCAGGGATGCTGTAGCTGAGTGAGGAGGTGGAGTCAGTAACAAGAGGCTCCTCCCCCTCTTTTCTCAGGTTCAATGTGGGGGGAGGACCCCCATCAGAGTAACAAGTAAATATCACCTCTTGACCCTCCATCACCTCCTCACCTGGACTCACTGACAGGGAGGTATTGGTGGGCGGAGCTATAGGAGGTGGCAGGCAGGTGTGTCAGGACTCAGGACTAGAAGAAAGATTGTAAATGAAACAGGAGCTTCACTCTCACCTAGAACTGTGACGTTTACAACAACTGTGTGGTTTCCTTCTGTGTTTTGAGCCTCACACTCGTACTGCCCGGCATCAGAAAGTCTCACTGCCGTGAAGACTAGACGACTTCCTTGACCCCTTTCCAGAGGCCATCCCTCCATCGTTCTGAAGCTCCAGGAGACATTCGGGGCCGGGTTCCCCTCGGCTGAACAGCTAAGAGTGAGCGGAGAGCCTTCTTTCATAATCACCGAGTTTAAAACCTTCACGATAACAGGAGCATCTGCAGAAGAGAGGAAGACAGGATTCAGAGGGAGGAGTCAGGATTCAGAGGGAGGAGTCAGGATTCAGAGGGAGGTGTTGTGATTCCGAGGAAGGAGTCATGATTTAAAGGGAGGGGTCAAGTTTCAGGGAGGAGTTTAATTCAGAGGGAGGAGTCATAATTCAGAGGGAGGAGTCATGATTCAGAGGGAGGTGTTGTGATTCTGAGGGAGGAGTCATGATTTAAAGGGAGGGATCAAGATTCAGAGAGAGGAGTTTAATTCAGAGGGAGGAGTCAAAATTCAGAGGGAGGAGTCATGATTCAGAGGGAGGAGTCATGATTTAAAGGGAGGGATCAAGTTTCAGAGAGAGGAGTTTAATTCAGTGGGAGGAGTCAGGGATTATATTTGTCAAGAGAACCGAGGAAGCCATTTTGAGTCAGAAAAAGCAGGAAAACTGTGGAGACAAAAATGTAGGCTGGATGATTTGGATGTTGAAACAGGGATTGTGGCATCAGAACTCAAATTTAACTGTCGAGACGTAAATTCACACAGCGAGACATGAACTCTGACCGTATAATTTGGATACTCACGTCAGGACTCTTGATTTAGAATCAAAACCCAAAATCAGGCATAGAGACTCTGAACCAGACTGGTATTTAGATTTAAAGGATAAAATCATGATTTACACATCAGGACGCAAAGTCCGTCATTTGGACTCAGATGTGGACCATAGCAGCCGAGTCTACTGGACTCCACTCACAGAGGATATTTAGGGAGACGGTGGTCTCTCTGGTCCTATTTTCAGCTGGCAGGTCCTCCAGTTCCAGCGTGGCCCTGCAGGTGATGTTCTGTCCTGAGTCCTGGTTCAGGAGTTTATGCTCTGACCAAAACAGGCTGAACTTTAGGTCTCCCATGGTGGTCTTCAGAATGGTGTCTCCTCTGAGCCAGGTGAGGGTCAGCTGGTCAGTGGGGTACAGGTGAGACACCTGGCAGGTCAGTGTGGGCTCCATCTCCAGTCTCATCTGGTCCTGACCTGTGATTACTGGGTCTGAGGGGAAGGCTGGAACCAGAGGACACACAGGTAAGAGACCAAAACAACAACAACAAAAAAGATGACGAGCGTGTGTGGACTCACAGTAAACCCTCACAGAGATCTGTTTCAGTCGGACATCGTCTCCACAGAGGACTTTACACACCAGCGTTCCTTCGTCATCCATCCTCACGGGGTCAAAGGTCAGCACTGAGCGAGTCCCGTTGGTGTCGACTGGTAAGGACAGAGGACGGTCACCCAACCAAAACCAGGACATGCTCGGCGTCGTGAGACAGTCCTGAACCTGACAGACCAGCTGCTGACGCTCGCCAAGCCTGAACAGCGGCGTACCGGGGAAAACGTTGACACGCAGGCCCTGAACGCACCACGAGGACATCAGAGACACAACTACGGAGGGAAATGGAACAAAATAAGAAAAGGTTCCAGATCTAATTCAGTCAACCAATGATTTTAGAACTCCGTTTTATTTGGAACGTTTTGTCTGCACAGAACCGTATAATACCGTAGAGCCACAGGTGCTGGTCATAAAATTAGAACATCATGAAAAAGTTGATTTATTTCAGTAATCCCATTCAAAAAGTGAAACTTGTTTATTATATTCATTAATTACACACAGACTGATATATTTCAAATGTTTATTTCTTTTAATGTTGAAGATTATAACTGACAACCAATGAAAACCCCAAATTAAATATCTCAGAAAATTAGAATATTGTGAAAAGGTTCAATATTGAAGACACCTGGTGCCACACTCTAATCAGATAATTAACTCAAAACACCTGCAAAGTCCTTTAAATGGTCTCAGTCTAGTTCTGTAGCTACACAATCATGGGGAAGACTGCTGACTTGACAGTTGTCCAAAAGACGACCATTGACACATTACACAAGGAGGGCAAGACACAAAAGGTCATTGCTAAAGAGGCTGGCTGTTCATAGAGCTCTGTGTCCAAGCACATTAATAGAGAAGCGAAGGGAAGGAAAAGATGTGGTAGAAATAAAGTGTACAAGCAATAAGTATAAGTGCACCATGGAGAGGATGGTGAAACAAAACCCATTCCAAAATGTGGGGAAGACTCACAAAGAGTGGACTGCAGCTGGAGTCAGTGCTTCTGGGACCACCATGCATAGACCTATGCAAGACATGGGTTTCAGCTGTCGCATTCCTTGTGTCAAGCCACTCTTGAACAAGAGACAGCATCAGAAGCGTCTCGCCTGGGACTGCTGCTGAGTGGTCCAAAGTTCTGTTCTCTGATGAAAGTACATTTAGCATTTCCTTTGGAAATCAAGGTCCCAGAGTCTGGAGGAAGAGAGGAGACACAGAATCCACGTTGCTTCAGGTCCAGTGTCAAGTTTCCACAGTCAGTGATGGTTTGGGGCCATGTCATCTGCTGGTGTTGGTCCACTGTGTTTTCTGAGGTCCAAGATCAACGCAGCATCTACCAGGAAGTTTTAGAGACTTCATGCTTCCTGCTGCTGACCAACTTTATGGAGATGCAGATTTCATTTTCCAACAGGACTTGGCACCTGTACACAGTGCCGAAGATACCAGTACCTGGTTTAAGGACCGTGGTATCCCTGTTCTTAACTGGTCAGCAAACTCACCTGACCTTAACCCCATAAAAAATCTATGGAGTATTGTGAAGAGGAAGATGAGATACACCAGACCCAACAATTCAGAAGAGCTGAAGGTCACGATCAGATCAACCTGGACTCACAACACCTGAGCAGAGACACAGACTGATGGACTCCATGCCACGACGCATTGATGCAGTGATCCAGGTAAAAGGAGCAACAACTAAGTATTGATGCTGTACATGCTCATACTTTTCATGTTCATACGTTTCAGTTGGACAACATTTCTAAAAATATATATTTTTTATTGGTCTTAAGTAATATTCTGATTTTCTGAGATACTGAATTTGAAGTTTTCATTGGTTGTCAGTTATAATCATCAATACTGAAAGAAATAAACATTTGAAATATATCAGTCAGCGTGTAATTAATGAACATAATGTACAAGTTTCACTTTTTGAATGGAATTACTGAAATAAATAAACTTTTTCATGATATTCTAATTTTATGACCGGCAGCTGAATACATCATTGTGCTTCTCATTTTTTATCTTCCTTTCTGCTTCTTTTAGATTATGTTCTCTATTTTAGCTCAGGGTCAGCTTCTTTAATACATTTCAGCAGCCACTCCGCGCATAGTTTTGTCACTTTTAGCTTCTACGTAGCATTCTGCTCCTTTTAGCTTTTTGGGCAAATCTTATTTTTAGCTAACAGTTTAATACTTAGCTTTTAGCTTTAACGACTCAGTTTCAGCGTCAGAGAAATGTTCTTTTAGTTACAAAAATCATTGTGGCTCAAGAAATTTAATAAAATAGGTTTGCTAATAAACATTTAAAGGGTTATTGCAGACATTTTAAAGTGGGGTTCTGTAGGAAGGTTTTGAGCCTCTTTTTAAAAAATATTTCTGACTGAAGATAAACTTGTGACTTATTCCTTGAGAATTAAATCTGTATTTTCTTGTTTTTTTGTGTCTTTCTGCTCAAACACTCGTTTTAAATTACTCCAATGTGGAAACGATCCTTTCGATCAGGCGGGATTGAGCAGAAAAACGTAAAAATCAAACAACAGAACGGCCTCGGAGACCAAATTACATCAGAATGAGCCACAAACTGGCAAAAGTAACAGATTACCAACCGTTTTCTGTCTGAGTTTAAATAAAACGAACAGATAAAAAATAAAAGAAATTCAATAAATTGACCAATCAATCAACCAGTTCAAACAGGAAAACAACAAAAACAAAACCAGTTTCTAACCCTTTACATCATCAGCCGGTGAGTCAATCTTCTCATGAAATTAATTTTAATGTAATCAAAATAAAGTGAGGAAGAGGAGACTCGCTCTTCCTCCGGCCTTTTATAAAAACAATAAATCTGGGATTTTTCCTCCTCTGTTCGTTTTTTAATCCCAGTCTGTGAGCAGATTGTTATTCAAATGAACGCCCGGCAGCTGAACACGAGTTCCTCTCTGAGATGATTGAAAGCAGCTCAGATAAAAACAGAGAACGTCACCTGAGAGGACCAGAACGAAGATCCTGCCGTCTGACATCTTCACCGCTCTGGACTGAAGGCCCGGGAACCAGCAGAACCTTCTTCGTGTTCCTGTTTCTGAGCCTGAAACAGAAAATGAGCTGGACACATGAAACACAGAGGATCTATGGAACCCCCCTCTGTGAGTCCTCAGACCACAGCGCCCCCTGCAGGATCAAACGGGTATAAGTTACCAGATCCTGTAACCCAGTGAACAGCTGATCAGACATGCGGGTCTGCGCTTGATGTAAACAAAGCAGAGCCTGGACCAGCTGGAAGCTCGAGTCTCGGACCCACCAGGCCGGTCTTCGTCTGCGTCTCGAACATGGAGGAACCAGACGAGCGCGGACCCTCGAAGACGTCCAGGTGGAAAAATAAGAGTCGAAGAGAAAACAGTGGAGAGGAAACATCGGCCGGGCGACGGAGCCTGCGTTTAAACAAGCCAAACTTCAGCTAGGTGGACCCGTTTTCTGCCACTTCGGCTGTTTCTGTAGGTAAACAAACACGTGGAGGCAAATTTATGATTTAAAGACGAATTAACCATCAATTTAAGACGTTTAAATATTTTGTAAGCTCATTTTTCTCCCTGTTCCCTTCCAGATGACGCTTTACTGTTAATGAAATTTATTTTAAATCTGAGCGACTGAGTTTTTATTTAAAAGCACTTTGTTAAAAAAATTCTCCCGTTTTTTAAAAATAAGCTGATAAGATTTTTGTCCAGTCTTTATGATTTTTGTGTCAACTTCAAGTCAAACGACGCCTGAAGATAAAAATAAAAACCGGATAAACGTCTTTAAAATTCTGTTTTAATACAATTTTTATTTAAGACGCGTTCATTTGGTTTTAAAGTTATTTTAATCCCAGGTGTTTTTAGATTATCCAGTTCTTTTATTTGAACTTTTCATGATAACCCTCTACCATAAACAGCTGGCGAACATGTGTCTGTTAGCGAAATATCTCACAAACAGAAGGATTGTGATTACTGGATATCTTTAAATAAATTGCTTTTTGTTTTATTAAACATGTTCCGTTTGTGTGCTTCTCTCATCTGTAGCTTTATTAAAAAACTGACCTTTCAAAATAAAAGACTTTGAAAATGTATTTAATTTTATTTTCTATGTAAAGAAAAATAAAGATCAAGAAACTAGAGCTCCTTAAAGAAAATGCTTATCGCCCGCCGCCTTTCAAAGATCTCGTGATCCAGGGATGAACCACCAGTTTTACCTCAGAATCTGTGAAATTGTTTTTGTTTGTAAATATTTATTAGCCGTGGCAGCCATCTTGAATTGAGTTGATTTGATTAACGAGTTGTAGACAAACGGCAGTAACTGGTTTCGTTAAAAGCCGTCTAATGGGTAAGGAGATATTTTGCTGACAAACAAGATCACAGGTCTTGGCAGAAGACGTTAATTTAAATAAAATAAACTTGGAGAGTTTTTAAGTTTCTTTGACGTACAAACACAAACACAGAAAACAGACGACACAGATGAACTCCAGAAGAATTATTTTATTAGAAACTCGGCCGTGGATGAAAAGACAAAATATCCACGTTATTATTTTTAACAAATTCCCTTTGAAGTTTCAGCGCAACATTAAATACAGAAAAAGGACATTTGTGAGTAAAAACAGCAGCGGTTCATTTGAAACTCCTTCAAAATAAAAGTTTTTCCTTCTTTGCCACATTTCCACAGTTCATCAACCTTTGGAAGCATAAAATGTTTAAAAGGGACAGTTCAGAGATTTATAGGAAAAGTTATGGTTAAATAATGTCTTACCTGTTGTAGATAGCTCTGACTAGCTGTTCGCTCGTCAGTTTCTCCAAACCGAGGTGGTTCAGAGCGACCTGCAGCAGGTAACGTTTCCACAGAACCTCACTTCTAAACGTCTGAACTACCACTTTAAGGCACCTGAGGCCTGTTTACCTCGAGACGGGGAGGAAGCAACAGTCAGGTCTCCCCAGGAAACAGGTTTCCCTCCATGAAATTATTTATTTTTGTTCATAATCTCTTAAGAGCACAAAGCTTGAGGCTCAAACAGCCGAAGAACCAAACAGCCGAAGAACTGCCGTCTTTCGATCAGTTTGAGCATTTTTGACTTGACCTTCGATTTATGGCTCTACAAAGATCTGAATGATTTATTTTGTTCAAATTAGCAACCATTTGGAATAATGATTTTTTTTAAACAACTTTTGAAACTAATTTAAGACTTGATACGAGTCAGTGTCAGCTGCATAAAAAAAAAAGATACTCGCTGCGTTGTTGTTTTAAAACTTCTCAGAGGCTCTAAATGTGAAACGTGGACTCTGGTATCGCTTTAGGATCAACAGAAACTAAACTTGTTTTTCTGTCCGAGTGCTAACTGAGCGGGCTAATTGGGTTTAAGCCCTCACTTTCTCCATCGGTGCTTCATCACGGTCATTTCTGCGTCGTGGTTTAGTCCAAAACAACGAAGTTACGTCCGGTTTAAAGACAATGGGCGTTGTGATGAAAAGAGCGTCGTGTTAGAAGTTAAAGGTGATGAATCTGCAGCAGATTTTAATTTGAGCCCGGAGGCGGCGGCGTAGATTCGGTTTGTCGTTTCCACAGTTGTACAGAAAACAAATTCCCTCCAAAAAACAAACAAAACCTAATAAATTTTAAAACGGCTGCATGAATATGCATCAGTTGCCAGTTGTCGGTCGGACAATAGCTGATCGCCCAACCCGAGTCCAAAGAGCCAGGTAAACAGGTAAAATATTAATCATTCGTAACTTTTCCACAGGACCCCACCTCAAAATGGCTGGAATAGCCCTTTATCGGTCACAGATGTTGCTGAGTAAAAGCAGCGTGTGATTAAACATGTAAAAAGTGTTAGAACCCCCTGGATTATTAAAAATCTTTCAGTCTGACAGTAAAAAAATAAAAATCCTGAACAGCAAATCTGCTGAAGTCTTTAAGGAAACATTTTATTTTAATAATCTAACCTGCTGGTTTTTAAATAAAGATTAAAATTATCTTTCTAATCAAAAGCCCAGAACTTAAACTATTAACAAGCCTTCCTAAAATCACATTAAATAAACTATTTTTTTATTTTTTGTTGTGGCGTTTACTGCCCATTTATACATATTTTTTTGTTTTGTTTTGTTCTGGTGACATAATTTAAAACTAAAGTCTGGTCTTTTCTTAAAAAAATAAAAATACTCTTTATCTTTACATTCAGTCCGTTTCATCCATTAGCTCTCGTCGTTTAAAAAATGTAATTTAAAAAAACCTAAAAGCTTCTTTAAGGCATGGACTCGCTGTTCCCGGGTTCCTTCTTCTTCGGGTCAGAACACTGATCGGTCGCGTCAACAAGAAAATCTGCTGGTAAACCGACCGGACGTAAATACTGTAACCATGACGACGGAGCGAGCCGCCGTCAGCTGACACTTTAAGAGAAAAAGACCTCCAAAAATATTTTCTGTCGTCAAAAACAAAAATAGACCCTCGTCTGTGACACGTTATAAAATCTTCAGCCGAACACGTGGATGACGTCATATTTACAGACAGTCCTGAGAGACGAACTCTCGCTGCTTCACCTCCCGTCCACGCAGGAGAACTCTGGGAGACGAGGACGTGTCCTCTCAGGTGGGACCTGGAGTCTTAGTACTGGACGTATTCCGACCGAAGAGACTGAAAAACAAAAAGATTAAAAATATTCATTAAAAGGTTCTGCAAACATTAACTTTGTTAAGACTTTAAATTTCTTCCTAAAGTTAACGAAAGAGCTTCTCAACGACCAAAAGGCTAAAATGATCCGACAACGGTCTAAAATACTCCTGTCAGTAAAATATCAGAGCGAAAAACTCAAAACATGAAAGGTTTAAACATGATGGAGGGGTCAAAGGTCACGCTGACGGATGAGGACGTTGTCCATGGTGAAAATGGACAAACAGGTCAACTAAAGAAGAACTCACCTGTTGGAGACTACCAGCTGATCCAAACCACTTTACCAGAACCAGAACCTCTCAGAAGTTCTTAGATGGACCTGGTCTGAATATAAACAAGGTCCAATGTGGAGACACAGTCTGAGGACATTTTCTGTCCTAAACATCTGAGGAGTTACACCATGGACAACGTACTGATTTATAGATGGACAAATGAGGACAATCTAGGGGACAAAGGGTTGGACATTTCTGTTGCTGAGATGCAAAACGTTTTAACAAAGGGGAACCTGTGACCTTTGACCCCACAATATTGAAATCAATAGGAAATATCCATGACTCATGTGGTGTCCAGCTATTCTTCTAGATCTATAAATACTTAGCTACAACTAAGCCCGTTTCTTCTGCAGCCTCTTTAGGCTAGCGTTCAGCCTCTTTTACCTAGCGTTCAGCCTCTCTTAGCTAGCGTTCAGCCTCTTAGCTAGCGTTCAGCCTCTTAGCT